ACAGACATGAAAAGGATGAATAGCCATTGGGAAATCCCAAAACAGAGTTGATCAAAGAATGCTGGTTGGCTCCCTCAACCCATGAAGAGTAAAAGGCGCAAGTAAATAATTTCCATATTTACTTTATTTATTTCACTTATATCATGAGGACAACACTCGTTTTGATAAAAACATTTTCTCTTTGCTTTACAAAGGAATGTTTAATGGGTACGTAAGAAAAGTATACATTTTCAATTAAGGGATTTTACGTTACCAAAATAATTGACGGTGGAAATCTATGATAACTTTGCAGTAACTTATCAGCAAGATGTCTCTGCTTAGCTGATTCGAAGCTTTTTCACTCAACTTCACAATCTGAGACAATACCATTGAGCTACTCTTAAAATAGATTACTTCGTTGAGGACTAATACACCTACCATTGATTTATCACTGAGTAGTGAATAATCTTAACTTTTCCCTGAGCACTTCTAGAATTTCTTCCGGTCCTGAGTCCACATGGAGGAGGTAAGCCGAAAATAGTCCTCATAACCGTTACAAAACACCAACCAGTGACAAATGATATGTTACTTGGTGCTTTAGATTTAACAGACTCCAATTAGTCGAATCGAGATGAGTTCACCAGTCTGAGTAACTGAACATCGCATGAATGAGTTTTTGATTTGGTTAGTTGAAGTTAGTTTAAATTATAAATGAGTTTCATAGTATTTGTCACTAATCGACTACTTAAATACAGTACTGGTCATCAGTATTTTCAAAATATCTGATTATTAAACCAATGTATCACAGAGTGTTTTGTTTCAAAAAGTTCAAAACTTTAAATTATAAACATCTTGAAAAAAAACCAGTTGTAACGTATTGTTTCACGCTTACCATTCTATTACAATTCGTAGTGTGTTCGAAAAAAAAGCTAAAAAAACACGTTTATCTTTTGTGTACTTTAATATTGCTATACATGAGATAAAAAGTACAACAGACAGTTTGCATTGAATCAAGATAAAAAATATGCATTCTTTGTCTGATAATACGATCATTTACTTTTTATCAGACTACAATATAACATGAAAAATACATTAGAATAAGTAGACTTCTCTCCTATCAAAATAAAAAATAAACACATAAGTAAATTGATACGGAATCATTGTCAGGTATTAAAAGCAGTTTTAAATATAAAACAAATTAAATTATTTTGTACTATGTTAACAGTTGGATGTAAAAATATTTTCGAAATTCTTAGTTAAACAATACTGTTACATGATTTAGGAATTAAAGAGATCGTCTTTTGAAAAAAAGTATCCTATTATTCAGTATTTAGTTTTATTCATCATTTGAGGTTTAACATTTTAACAACTGGGATTACGTATAAACATATTTCACATTTGAAACGATGGTCATTCGGCTAACTAACCAATCAAAAATATATATGTGATTATTTTTTAAGTTTTGTGTTTTCGCTAAGACAAAAGGATAATGATATTGCCCGACGATTGTTGCTATCCGCTTTTTTTCGGATCAGAGTGGGTGGATTGATGCCAAAATTAAAATTTCGTTATTCAAAGACCGAAGTGATAGTTTCGGGCTGGACACTATAGAGTTTTGAATGATGCTTTATATGCTCTATATGTAATTAGTCAATGATGAAAGTATATGTCGAAAAAGCTCTTCAGGTTTCTTTAGTTTTAGGTAACCTTCCAATTGAAATCTTTCTATATTAAAACCTGTTTGAAAATCTTAAAGCCTCCTTATACTACCTAATTACAATATTTGTCAGATTAGGAGATCGATGAGTTTTCTTTTCCTTATTTGCAGCATGCCTTACTGGCTTTTCACTGTTTTAATGTCATTAACTTAATGACACAAATGGGCAGAAAGAGGTAACAAAATTCGTTTTTCTCATAAACTCATGATGTTTACACTGTGAAATGAAATAAAACGATTCCTAATGCTTGTTATCCTACAATCATCTTATGAAAAGTATGTGAATTAGTGTTACACTCGTCTCTAGGTATGCTTAAAACTATTACGGGTTCACCTTGGTCGAATAACGAGAACAAAACAATGAACCAGCGTCCAGGTAGGCTACTGTGATCCTCTGACCGAAATGTACTGGCAAGAAGTCTTGATATAGCGTAGGAAGTGTATTCTACAAACACCCAGCAAGCACAGTACATTCAAGCACACAAATCTCGTTTATTTATACACCATAGAGACGTCCTTGGGAGAGTCACAAAAACAGAACACTAAAATACACAACAGTTAGTCACAGCCAAGGATTCTACTGGTGGGAAATGTGATCTCAAGGTCAACTGATCAGTCCATGCCCGCAAACGTGAAATCCAAAATAAGGCATTTATCAAGCGAGTTCTGTGGATCTAACGTCCCGAACACTTCTTCCCTTTCTAATAGCATGCGCTTCTGGGGTCGACTTGCACCTTGACTGTCAATCGCCGTTGTCTGAAAGGATACCTTCTGGAACGGAGAACAGCTTACTGCTGAGTTTCTTCTCGTGGTATGGCTGTCGGTAGGTTGAACGTATCAAGCAGGATGTCAAGCAAAGATTTTCTGCTCTTCATGGGCGATCTGCGGCTATCCGTTTGAGTATCTGTTTACGATGGCGTGACCACCTTTCGCCTCCTACTTCTACTTCGTATCTATCTCGCCCAACTCTTCTGACCACTCGCGCTTCTACCCAGGGACCATGATTTGCTCTGTAGTCACGTGCAAACACAGGGCATCACACTTCATAAGAGGATCGCCTTTCCGACTTTGTCTGTACCGGTGTTGATACATTAGTCGGATGCATTAGGCTGTGGATCGTTTTCAGTCTTCTTCCTATCAGGATTTCTTCTTGGGATTGTCGCTCCGGTAACAACTCATTTGGTGTTGTTCGATAGACATACAAGAAATTAGCATGCAGTGGAAAACGAAGTATAGGCAAGGTTAAGTATAGGCATATGTTATTTTATACTAAATATAAGTTCGATTCGTCTCCTTGAGAGTTTTCCCTTCAATTGTATACTCAAAAATTTGCTATAACTACATTCGTTTCGAAGACTTGCCAGTCATCTCATGAAAACCATCTTACGGAAACTCGGAAACAAATAATAATATCCATCTAAAATAACTACAATCAAGTTCATGTTTGAAAAAGATAATACTTATCCGAATCGGCTGCAAAGTACAAAAAGCAACAAACAATAACAAAACGATACATTCTCTGTTATAAAATAGAGATTTCGCAATCGAAATATGATAATGAGTCTGCCTCTAGTGAGGATGATGGTTTTATAAATTGCTTGGTTTTATTCAAGTAGTCATATACATGACAATTTTCAAGTCTCAGTAGACCATGTGTACGATCTGAGCATTTAGTCATCAATCACATGATGAAGTGGAAAATTTAGAAATAGTTGTTGGCTGAAAAAAGTTTAAAACTCCTTTAATTCTTTAAAGTATTATGTTTGATGCTTAGTTGAGAAAGTCAGCACCCATAATGTCTGCCGTACGTTGGTCCGTATAAATAAACAAGATTAGATAGAGATTTCAGACTTTCGTCAAGAATACATCAAATTCCATATGGTCAATGATAAAGATGGATTAATGTAGTAATGAGTGTTGAGTGGGACTTCATTTTAATCATCTTAATATTCTTTTTTTGCTTGAGTATTCATTTTTTCTTCATTTAAAAGAAAACGGTTACATCTGCTCTGATTACTCGAGTGCATAAATTGAACTAGTGGAAAGTTCATTTTATATTTACACTTTAGTTCTGTGATAGGATTCACTAGCACAGGTATATATTTCTATCCATTTATATGCTCATATAACTGAAAATTGATTTTTTTTTCACATTACACACAATTGAATCCCAAATCGACTTCAATATGCTAATAATTTAATACGAAAAGATTTTATAAGTTTTTATGAGTACGAAAATAAAAATGTTTATTTTTATTCAAAGAATTCCACACACTAGAAAATGAAAGATTGAAATTTTAAGCATTAGTTTAAAAAGGCAATTAAGAATTTAGTTTCAAAGTTTTCCCCTGTGATGAAGATTTCTAGTCATAGTAAATTGCGACTGCAAATTTCGAGGTTCAAAACAATATTTATTCACAGTATGAGTGAATCACGTCTTTTTGTCGCTGATATAAAAATAATGTTCACTTTAAACCGAACAATAACAAATAATATTTCTGTCGGTTTGGATTAAATAAAAACAGAATCATTTCCCGACTGAAGCCGGATGTTCATCAAAATTATAGAGCACTAAATAGCCTAGAAGTTCTGCTGTTACTTATCCTTCATCTAACGTTAAAACAAGCATATTACTTTCTAATTATAGAGCTGATATTTTCAACTGCAATCAAATCATCATACTCTGTGACCATCATCAATATTGTTCGAAAGTAAAATGATTCCAACAGTAAAAGATGAATGTTAGACCACCATTAGAAACCCGGAATTACTGAGCGACGGTTTCTTCCTTGTTTAGGACTCATCATCAGTGAGCATTCACGACTTCTTCTACTCGCAGGATTCAAACCTAGGAATTTCAGTCCCATAACAGAACGATACGGCCATCCAGTGATTCCAGGTTTCTACTCGTGGTCTAACATTAATAGATTCATGATTTCAAAAAAGTATCTCAACAATCTCCATAGCTCCATAATTCAAGTAACAGATGAGTCAATATTGTTCAAATAAGACAAGATTGGGTGATACGGACTTAATAATATATTGATGAAGAAAAGAGTACAGGTAATTTTGGAGCAAGATTAAAGTAGTAATAAACTTATATTCATTTAAAAATATGATTTAGGAATTTTCTTAGTTGACTGAAATGAAATAATCATCCAATCAATATGGTAATTGGTAAAATATTGTGTCTCAAAATATTGTCAGTACATATATTAAAAGTCGTACGACAGAAACATCTCAAATAATAATTACATACAAACTAATAACATTAATGTAATGTTTCTAGGGAAAAAATGCTTACCTTGCAGGCTTGATTTGCCCCATTTTCCTGACACGTACCGTGCAAAATGTCACACGTGGAAATTTACCTGAAGTCTCCCATTCTTGTCCAGAAATCAAATCATTTAAAACATCCATACCAAACATGGTACTATTGGTCCCAATAAATTTTTTCATGAGGTAAATTTGACCAACTGAATTACCAATAAAACAAATACGAACTATAAAAAACAGAAAAGTTATACGTGTATTTGGTCGTAAGCTACATAATATTCTTTTCATTGTACTGGTTGCTCTTCTGTGTCTGGCAGTTGATTCAGCTTGTTCTTCTAATGTAGCGACTAAACAAGAAATAGCTTTCTGTCTAAGTTCTCTATCTGGTATTGATGCCTCTTTGGCTGATCGTAGTAAAACAGGTAATCGTTTTGATCCGACTCGCCATAGTATTTGAGGCACCCAACATAACATCGCTTGCCCAGCTAATACGATAGCTATCCACTGATAGTAACCAATATATCTAACTTTCGTTAATTCATAATCATCTTCAGGGACTTGATCACTTGGGTGAAGGAAATATGTATTCTGTACCCAACAGAGATTTTCTGCATATTCCTCCCATGAATGTGTGAACTCTTGTGGCACCCAACATTGAATAGGTTTACCTAGAAATTTAAAAAAATTTCCATATGAATTAAGTTGCATTTTTTGAAAATAGAATGAAAATTCAAAATAAAATGTAGACAGTTCATTAAAATTATCTGATTAATCATTTTCATTCTACGTGTTGTTGGTGTTCTGAATTACAAATAATTTACATGGAGAATGAGAGGTTAATAGTTTGAAGTATTTATTTTCATTGATGATTGACATAGTCTTCGCTAATGACTCAAGTATAAATTAATAAAACTGTAGTTCAATGAATCAAATGTTTGTGTATTAACTAAATAATTTACCAATAAACATTAAAACCAGTGATGGAAAACCTAATCTTTAATACAACGGTGTGCCTACACGCATCAATGTTTTGGATATCGAAAAAGTTATTTAATTAACAAGTGATGTATCGGCGGTCACTTAGTAAATTAAATGGATCAAATCATGATATTTGTGGAGGGACGGCACTTCATTTTAATGTACATTTTTCAAGATATTTACATTATTAAATCAGTAAGTTTATAATGGCATACGCCTATATATATATATATATATATATATATATATATATATATATATATATATGTAGAGAGAGAGAGAGAGAAAGAGAGAATGTTTCTTGTTGTATTAGTTGAATTTAAGTAATTTTTCATCAAATAGTTCTCCTATTGTTAATATTACTATCGATTGGAATGGTTTTTATACACCCTAAAGAAGTAAGTACGGGACTTAAAGTTTATCCAAACTGTATAACTAATTGCAGTCATATTAAGAATCTCAGTATTATCAACACTATCACTATCAAAATCTTTGCCTGCTGTGTACTGAACTTATTTTTAGGATTAATAAGGCCGATCGCTTAAAATTCGGTAATGGATCATGTTTATAACTTTCCAAAAATATCAATATGCACCATGCTGTTTTGCGAAAATAACATTAAATTGTATGTTTTAACAGCATAAGATTTTGGTGTAAAACTGTACTGAAATGTAAAAATGTAAAACTACTTCTTTATAAGAAGTTTTCAAAGGAGTTCAAAATGTTTAATGTTTTTTTGTCTTGTTAACCATTAACTGAATTTGTTTTATTGAAATATCAACAGGTTATATTTGGTAAAAACCAAATTCGAAATTTGCGTTAAAAAGTTTCTGATAAACTATAAAAACCGTGTTTTGATGACTGATCGTCAAGCAATGAATAGGATTATTGAGTTGCATAACTTTAATAAAGGCTGACTAAACAATGAACAATGAAGAATCCATTTTTGTTTGATAAAGCACTTATTCTAAGCCACAATAAAATGTCCAGCGTTATTTCTAATATCGGAGTCGTTTGAAAGATAAACTTCAGCTTATTTATTTACTTTTCAAATATTTATTTACACGATTTTCTACTCTAATCGACTGTTCACTAGTGTCTAACAGTAGATGGTCTCGGGTTTTTATGAGACAGTGGTACCAATGGAATAGGAAGGACTAAGTCGCAGTCACGTTAGTTATCAACTGCAAATACAGATGGAAGTCGAGCAACGCCTCACATTGATTCGGTTCGGAATCATGGATCAACGGTTTAGGAAAACTGATTTGTATGATTTATCAGTTGCGCACGGCTTCGACATCAAACCAAACTGTTTAGGAGATAACTAATGTTATGTCAGTGAAAGTAATCCAATACCTTAGCCCTTTTACACTACCTTATTCAAACCAAAACTTCGGTAAGAATTTACACATCATGGCTGGTTTTGACTTGTATCATTCTGGATGAACTGTATCAACCGTACTATTAAACCTGATCAATAAAATATTTATTCGAAATTCAAAGTATGCCTGTTTACAAAGATCATTGCACACTATTTTCTTCATATAGCAGTTCTATATTTATACAATTTATAGATAACATTCATTTCAATCAACAATGACTCTTATCATTATCAGCGAAAATCTGTCTACACTAGTAAAAATACCTAAACCATTTTATTCTTCCAAATGTGTTATCTATAAACTTTTGATATAGAGTATAAGTTTTATGGAGCAAAAATTAATTTCATGAATGGATTAAATGAGCATTTAGATCTTTAGATTAGATTAAATTCTCTTGTATAATTGTTGGAAATAAAATATTCTATATAGTACAAAGATTTCCAAAAACTAAAGAATAAAGGCAACAAAAGTAACTATTACAACATGAATTTTACCAAATGTTTAATCATGAGGAAACATAAAGTTGAGACCATCAAGTAAGGAGTGGTGTATATGAGTGTGAGGTGAAATCATAAATCAAAAAAGTTGTGCGAATATGAACATCTGCAAAAAACTGTAATATAGCAATATATATATTCGAATATACTTAAAACATCGGTCGATAATGTAGATTTATTAGTCATTTACAACTTAGACAATCCACTACAAAGTAAAAATATTTATCTATTCATGTTAAGTCACCTTGAGTCAGTACAACCAGGTGTGGTGTGAACTACTTATAAGTAGTATATGACGTGAGTGTCAACGTAATGTCTGGCACCGGAAGATGGGGGAAGATCAAGAAAGGAAGAGTTAGAACACAATGGAATTCGTATGAAACGCATGAATAATGACAATGGATTGATGTTTGGCAACAGGAACAGTCCAGTTCGATAGGATGAACTGATATTTTGCAAATGAACAATTTACGATATGGTTTTCCGATTTTACTGAGTAACTCTGTAATTTTCGTTGAATAGAATTCGGTTGCCCCACCTGTGTTCTCTTCACTACGCAGGTAGTAATAATACAGTATGTTTTGTTTTACAGTATGATAGCCGCGTTCAGTCAGACACAACGCAACATTTATCTAAACAAGTGACACTTTTCTCAGTTCTATGAATAAAACAATAATTATTTCATTCAATATTGCACTTGGATTATAGTAAGTAATTTCTAAAATTAATTATCTCTGTGCTACTTTTAATCTTTTATACATTGAGGAAATGCAATGAACAACAGTATGTTGAAAATCAATGATAAATACCATTTTATTTACTTTAACTGTAAAATTGTTGATATTAAGGAGACAGTTAATGATAGTTTAGACAAAACATTGGCTGGAACTCACTTTGTAAACAAACTAAGAATTCTCTATAAAAGTGAAATTTTGTCTTCTTAACATAAGACTAACGTGTACAGATTTAATACCACCACTAATTAAATTTACACGTAGCCGTTAAAACAGATAATCTGGCATAACGAAAAGGATGAATCTATTTCGGATTATACTTATGCTTCTAAATTTCTTCGGTCAAAAATAAAATAAAGTAGATTTCGTTGATATCGATTCTAGAAATCTCTTGATGATACAACATCAGGTACGCAGAATATAACGAGATTTATAAGATCCTGTAAAATGATCAACTAGCAGCTATGATCTAGTACTCTGAAATGTACTGGATTATGTGTTTGAAAGGAAAATATACCCATCGTCCTTTGTCTTGGTTAAATAAATGTTACTATGTTACTTATACACAAAATGTCATTTACATAGCATTTTAGTTTTGAGTACATATCAGTGTGTTTGTTGAAGATTAGGAGCACAGGAAATGGAATAAGTTCTTTCCATCCAATAATGTTTGTTGTTATCATCTAACGAAATAAATCTTACTTCACTTTATTATAATTTTCCGACATCCAATTACTTCGTGGTATAATCTCCTAGTTATTCAAATCAAGAACAATGAATACAGTTAATTGAAATGGATTCATCTCATGTGATCTAAAGCTTTCACATACGCTAGAAATTGGATGATTAAAAATTTTTTTCAGGAATATAAATTTGATGTATAGCATGTTTAAAGTTATTTAGTTTTCATACACTCTTCAACTCATATTATCACTAATAGTATCGTTATCAGCAATATTACCGTGGCCTCACCGTTATCTTTTTGGTAGATGATAATATTTTTAATTTTCTATCTACTCTCTTGTACCCGACTGCATCGCTTTCCCCCTTATGTTTAATCCATTCGTCCGCGCATTAGACATAAAAAATAAGAAAGGTATTGATAATTACTTTTTATTCATGAACTGAATAACTTTAAAGGTATATTGTGCATCAAGCTGAATTTGAACAACACTTTATTTATCCATACAACTCAGTGAATAGGTAGAAAAATTTACTGTGTGTGAATTGTAAAGAATTCACTCAATCCGCAACTTTTTTTGTTCTTACTCTAGGGAAAAAATTTTCTAAAGAACTAATTGGATGAATTCCTCATAGATAGTCCATAATTTTCTTCATAAATATGATCTACTCCATTTATTCATGATTATCACTAAGGATTGTTTACTATGTAACCATCAGTTCGCAGCCTTATGGTTTTTGTTGTTATTATTATTATTATATCAAAGCCTTCTGTGATAAACTCATTATATTTTCAATATACGATGTAATCATCTAGATTCATTTGTGCCTTCTTTATACGGCACTAGTTCAAACTAACTTTCAACTCAATTTACTACTGTAGGTATTTCCGACTTTATTAACTAGTTTCGTTTCTGGTATAGGAATATAAGTTGTAGACGAATGATGAGAATGTAACAAATATACATATAATTCATTTTATTTTACTGTTCTTTTTCACTTAAAATTACTAAAGCCCAAGAGGCTCTCGTGCCTGAAATCATTATAAAAAAACTGTTTTTTTCAGAAACTTCTATTAAGTATTAGGTAAATTGTATTAATTTTTCTTAATATCATCCGAAAATCTATTTGATGGCGAAAAAAAAATAAACAGTCCATTTAGTTTAGAATAAAATCAGAAAACACTTTGGAGTAGTTGTGAAATAACAGTTTGTTTTTTTTTGTAAATAGATGTATGTAATCCATGAACTATTTTGTTTCATATAAATTAATATCTGCTTTTGGATTATTGGATTTTATATAGGGCATTCATGTAACCTAGCGAAAGAAAACCAGCATTCTTATCAAACGATTTTGAGATTTTCATTTAATACAACACTTTTATATGTCAAACTAT